GGATACCACTTTTGAGTTAATTTGTCATCTTGGCGCTGTGAAGGAGTTCTTGGAGGGGTTTTTTATTTTCAGACTTTCAGATGTGGTAAAAGTTCATTGTTCCCTGGTTAGTTAGATTAACAGTGCATGGTATTTGGAGTTTGGATTTCAGTGTTCATTCGAGTATTGGAGATCTGTTGAAGTATAATCTTTGAGTAAATTTGATACTCCGTATATTGGATGGAAATATGGAAGGGGGTTTGCGTTTCAGTAGTCATAACATATGATTGTTCAATTGTCATTAGATTATCTCTGCATAGTAACGGTAATGGTAAAATCTCAAATTAAAAGATGGAGTTTAAAGCAAAGTCAAGGAGGATGATACTTTTTTTGGTAAGGAATGACCAGATTAATGTTGCTGACTTGTTGTTCCAAGACGAGGAGGAGGATAAACTTTATTGTAAACACGTCAATGGGGTAGAAAAGCAAATTTTATTAAATTTGGATATTATGTTTGACGATGAACAATTGGATTCAAGTTTTTGTGATGAATTTGATGATAAAGACCATATGTTGGGCATGCCTTTTGACAAGCAGACTAATGCCCTCTGACTCCTCTCTGCTCTCAAAAAACATGATGATAGAGGAAAATCAGCTCCACATTGTTAAGTATAAATACTCCCTCATCGACAGATGTTCAAAGATGCTAATACACCTAATTTTCCTCATGTTCTTGAGAACCATAAAACTCCTTTCAGATTGCTGCCCTTATCATGTTTTTGTTTTGCACTTTAACTCTTTTTCGGGGATTTCCTTTTAGAAAGTGAAACGACAAGACATCTTATTCTAAAAGATAAATGTGAAAATTTTGATTTTATTTACAATGAAAGATATTGTTATACTCCTCATAGCTTTTTTAAATCTCTCTCGTGCATGACATAATTCTACTTCAAACATTGTGATTATATAAATTTCCTAACTTAAGTGTAACCCATCCATTGTCAAGTGCTACATTTGAAATATTGCATTTTTGGGCAGGTGAGTTTGTGTATATTTTTGGTTTCACCATCTCAATATTAAGATGAAATTAGATATCATTATGTCCAAAGTTTACTTGATAGATTCAAGTATGTTACTATCTTCATACATACGTAGTAGTACTTCTTTACGTCTGTAAGAAATAGATACTTTACACAAATGATTTGTCTATTGGGCATATTCCCAATCGCGCAACGCGCGTAGAAAAACTAGTTATTAAGAATAAATGAATAATTCTTTGTCATTTTGTTCATTCTTGGTAAAATAAGTCTAAATTCCGAAGAACGTTCAAAGATCTGAAGAACGAATTCTCGAAGATTTGAAGAACGAATCTTTGAAGATTCAAAAATTTGAAGAATGAGCCTTTGAAGATTCGAAGATATTTGTATCAATATCGAATCTAGATTCAATTGAAGATCAAGTCATATATCCCCAGAGAGCCCTTTAACAGAGGATCAAAGTCACAAAACGGTCCTTTTGTTGAATATCAAGATATTTGAAAGCCGAATGCCCTTCAATCTGAATTCTACGTTGAGAGCATTCGGAGATTCAAAGGACCAAACTTTTGAAGATTTGTAGATATATAAAACGAAGTTTTGCAGGTCCGAAAAATGAATGTTCGAAGATCTGGATAATGAAGATTCAAAGATCTCAATAACAAATACTCGAAAATATGAAGAACATTCTAATATTTGAAGAGTTAAAGACTTAATATCCAATTAAATTGTTTAATTATATTTATTTCAAATTGCAACTGAAGAATCAGAGGATTCATATATTCTCATATATTTTTATTTGCGATCTATTTTTAATAAATACTTAAAATTTGTTTCACAAAAAAGCAATGTGGCATCCAAATTTTGAGTACTACAAATTCCTTCCTGAAATGAAGTACTTATCGCATTGTTTATGAAATAGTGTCAATCATGCAAATGATATTTTCATCATCTTCGTCGCAGTGATTACCGTCAGCCATTGACTGCTGCAGCCACAGTGACACAGTGGCACCAACCATAACGACACAATGACTCCAGCCACAATGACCCAACTACAATGACTCTGTCACCCCTGCTAACTACCATCTCGCACCCCCACACCCATCTGCAGTCTGCACCCCTGTCCTCCTTCCCCACCCTCTACCATAACCTCTATCTCCCGTGTCACTTTCTAGCTGTGAGACATCGTCAATGACAGTTAAGCTGTCTCCGCTGTTTAGGAACTCTGGTCCAGAGGCAATAGTTGATGTGCGGTGACAATGACGCTTGATTCAGAGGAGATTGGGAGGTGGTGGGCTGGCGGCGATATAGATGCAATTTGCGGTGACCTCGCACAGATGACGGACAAGTGATGGTGATGAAGATGCAGAGGCGATCGGAGCCACACAGATGGTGAGGTGATGAAGATGCAGAGGCCGCACAAATGCAGGCAATATTTTTGTCTTTTTTTTTTCATTTAAAAATAACAACTTTTGCATACTTTGAACTTATCAAAACTTAAGATGTTTAATGATAAGTGTATATAGAGCATGAACACCTTTATAAGATTCTCATTATACACCATGCAAATTTGATGTGATTGAATCTTCCGCTTTTTTCTCAGATAGTTTTTTGCTATTGAGACTTATGAATGCACGTGATTGAATTTTAAATTAGTCGATTGTGTGTATTAAGTACTTTGTTTTAGACTTAGAACCATTGGATATAAAAAAGCTATTGATTTTTTTTTTACTCCAGGGGGTGTCTGGGGGAGAGGGTCTGGGGCGGGCCTGGAGTAATCAGAGCTGAAACTCACTCCATTGAGTTTTGAACTCGAGATCTCCTGTAAGGGAGAGTGAGTCGACGACCAGTTGAGCTGGACCGCTTCCTCATTTAGAAAATTTATTTATTAACATAATACCCCAATGACTTAGGGAGCGTTTGCAACTGCTTCTACTTAAAAAAGCACTTTTGGAGATGTAAATGAAAAAATGATTAGTAATAAAAGTTGATAGTGTTTGAGAAAAAAATGATTTTGAAAAGTAAAAGTTGGTAGTGTTTGGTAAAATACGTGCTTTTGTGTAATAGAAAAGTGAAAAACACTTTTCACACGCAAGCCGAGAAAAAGTAAAAATTGATAGTGTTTGGTAAATAAGTGCTTTTTTAAGCCAAAAGCTGAGAAGTGTTTTTTTTAAGATGTTGCAAACCTACACTCCCTTAGTAGCTATAAACTTTGTACTCTCATAACATCATGTTACTTTCTTGAAACATCTCTAATGCTATATTGTTCACGGTGCATATGTAGAATGAGAGAGATATACACAAAATAATATATTTATGATATTTCTCTCACATTCTTTTTATGGTCTTATGCGTTTGGGTAAGTGTTTCTGAACAATGTCAATCACAATTTGTACATCTAGAGATTGTGCTTTAATTTGACATTGTGAAAAAAACTTATTAAAAACATATAAAATCATTCAAATAAGAAGTGAAATATTCTACTTATTTTTTTGGCTTATTTTTTTTTAAAATCAAACAACTATTTTATCAATAAAAGATAACAAAGATACAAGAGAATGAATAGCCTAAGACTACAATGAGATGAGACATAGAATGAAAAAGATCCGATGAATCCCTTCCAGATCGCTAACCCGCAATAATGTAGTCTCGTCTAACAGTCGTGCTGCTCTTCTTGCTACTCCAATGAGATAATAAAATACTACAACTAAAAGATTCGGCTTCACCGGCCACTAGAAAGGGAGAATCAGTTTGACTAGCAACGAACAAAGGAAAATCAGTTGAGCAGAAATTTTCTGAATCATTGGTTTGACCAGCCACCGAAAACGAGATCCAATGGAGTGTTTTCTTCTTCCCAAAGCGATGCGATGGTTCAGGTGGTGCGCGAGTAATTGAAGCATCAGAACAACGAGGCTGAAAAAGCTTTACCGACAATGAACAACAAAAATTCATCAAATTGATTACACTGGTTCGAAACACACAACCTCTGGACATTGCTAGGAGAATAACATACTACACACGCTCACATGAAGCGTTCAAAATTTTCGACCGACGAAGAAGCCAGACCACAACTCGAAAATAGAAATTTAAAAAAAAGAACGGAAACATAGAAAAACCTTTGATTCAATCTTTCCTGCATAGAGAATGTCACTATCTTCCAAAACTTTTTGCTGATTAAAGAAGAAAAGATAGAAAAAATCTACTTATTTATATTTGTGTATCTCTCTCCCTCGTAACACTTATGTATCGTTCACGTTCTTACGTTGGAGATGCTCTGATTGTGGAGGTAACGAATTCGAATACTCCCTCCATCCCTCTCCGTCCTTGTTTTTTCTCCTCTTTTGACCCGACACAGGGATTAAGATAGCGAGTTTTGTGTGACCGGGAATTGTGCATATGAGAGATAAATATGTAAGAATTGTTGGAACCACAATTTCTTTGCCAAAAAGGAAAATAAGACATTATTTTGGGATGGACGAAAAAGAAAAGTTTTAAGATAATTGAGGGACGAATGAAGTATCATTCATGCGGAAGAGGTTGACATTATTTTTAAGTAGAAAATATCATAATTAGAAGTATTCATAAAAACTTAATACATTAGTAGTTTATTAGTTTAAAACAACTTAATAGTTCACTTATCGTCACAATATATATTCTTTTATTGTTCCATAAAGGTTAGAAGTGTTATTCAAAAACTCAATACTTTACTGTTTTTTTTTTAATAAAACAACTTAATAATTAATTGTCGTCAAAGTTTATATCCTTTTGTTATTGGGAAGTATGTATATTTCTGTATTTTTTTAAAAAAAGAGATAGATAGAGCTCCACAAGTTCAGAAAAAAAAACGTACTGCATATCTTTTTTTTTTGGGATGAAAACGTACTGCATATCTAAAAAGATAAAAACATTTAAACATTTTTTTGAAAGGAGATATAAACAAAATATAATAATTATAATAATAATAGGAAATGGCATATTAATTATTATGTAGGAATTCCTTTCCAGTTTCCACTTGACATATAAAACTTTCCAAATAGGAAATGAACCAGAGGAAGGAGGGCATATAGAGGAGGAAGAAGAAAAGGCCCTCTGATTCAAGTACCTCGTAGTACTGCCTCCTCTATCTGGATCTAAGTGGTTTTTGTTCGATCGACGACTTGTTGATCTGGGTATTGAATTTCGTTTCATATTTTGATTTTCAGTATCTCACTTCAATGTATTTTGGGTTGTTACTCATACACGAGTCGTGATTGAGTGTGGATGAACCCATTGGATCGATATCCAGAAATCCGAAATGAACACATTTCTTTGTTTCTTCGTCACATCTATGGATCCTAATCTGGATTGATCTTCTCAAGATCTGATGATGTTATACACAGCTTAGTAGAATCTATTGAACATTCAATCTTTTGTTATCTAATTATAATAGTTGACATATGTGATGTTTGCTTCTGGATAGTAAAGATGCAATATTTAATGGTTGATTTCTCCTAGGCTTTCAGTCTGCATTTGTCTTCTGTCAACTAGTAAGCTATGATGGTTTTATTTATTTGGTTTAAGTAATGGAATTCATTTACTGTGCAGTAAAATGCAATCTGATCTTGGCAAGTTATTCATTGGTGGGATTTCCTGGGACACAACTGAAGAACATCTGAAGGAGTATTTCAGTGCTTATGGGGAGGTTCTGGAAGCTGTGATTATGAAGGATAGGACAACTGGGCGTGCCCGTGGATTTGGGTTTATCGTGTTTAGTGATCCCACTGTTGCGGACAGAGTCATTAAGGATAAACACAACATTGATGGCAGGATGGTTAGCCTCCCCCTTCACTATTAGTGATCATTAATTGAAAAATACTTTCTTTTGTGATCTTGATCTTAAATGACTACTAAAATGGATGAATTGGCTGAACGGCCAAAGTTTGGTGATTTATTTAGTTGAAATTACTAAGTGGATGTGTAACTACCTAATACTCCCTAGAATATTAAATTCAATGTTATAGTGTTTAGTTTTTTTTTTGTTGAAAATTTTGAAGGCTTATCAGCCAATATGGGCATACTAATTAAAGTATTAGTATATTTATTATATACAATACAGGTTGAGGCCAAGAAAGCTGTTCCTAGGGATGACCAAAGCACAATGAGCCGAAGCAGTAGCAGTATTCAAGGATCTCCTGGTCCAAGACGCACAAGAAAGATTTTTGTAGGTGGATTAGCTTCCACAGTCACTGAGAGTGACTTCAAGAAGTATTTTGAGCAGTTTGGGATGATAACTGACGTGGTGGTGATGTATGATCACAACACTCAGAGGCCAAGAGGCTTTGGATTCATAACTTATGATTCTGAGGATGCAGTGGACAAAGTCTTGTTGAAGACTTTCCACGAATTGAATGGCAAAATGGTTGAGGTCAAACGTGCTGTTCCCAAGGAGTTATCTCCTGCCCCTACTGCTCGTAGTCCACTGGGGGGTGGATTTAGCTATGGCTTAAGTAGAATCGATAACTTACTGAATGGTTATTCACAAACATATTCTCCCAGTGCAGTTGGAGGAGGGTATGGAGTGAGGATGGACAGCAGGTTCAGCCCTATGGCTGGGGGTAGAAGCAACTATGCCCCGTTTGGCTCTGGGTATGGAATGGGCCTTAACTTTGAACCTGGATTGAGCCCGGGGTATGGGGGAGGTGCAAATTTCAACACTACTTTGAACTATGGCCGTGGGCCTTATTATGCTAATAATAACAACACAAGTAGGTTTGGCGGTCTTATCGGGCTTGATGGTGGAAATGGAGGAAGCTCTTCCTTTTTCAGCTCCACTCGAAACTTGTGGGGTAGTGGAGGGGTAAATTATGATATTAACACCACAAACTCAAATAATTTGGGTGGGTCTGGGAGTGGAAACCTCGGAGGGGGAATGCTCAACAGCAGAGGAGTTTGGGGTTCATCTGGTATTCCTGCCCAAGGGGGGCGGAATGTTTCTGGCCAAACTGGAGGAAGTCTTAGTTATGGAGGTGGTAATAATAATAGCTCTTATGGCTTGGGTGTAGGAACACCTGGTAGAAATGTGGCAAGCTATGACAGGTCTTTTGCTGAGTTTTATGACAATGAGTTCAAGTACACTGAATCTACGTGGGGTGAGCGTGATGGAACATTTGCCTATCTTCCGGGTGGCGGCACAACCTCTGACCTGCCCCCTCAAACTTCTGCAGGTCCTGTTAATAGTAATGGTGTTACAAGTAGACAGAATTACAGAGGTAAGCTTTTTCTACTTAACCCTTGAAAAACATTTTTCTTGTTTCTATTTGCTCAGAGTAGACATTCATCTTGTTTCATGTGTGTTGTTTCTTATTTGCTTTTGTTTGAAAATGGTGATTTAATTATGCTCTGTAAAAGGTTTCTTTTTTTATCCTAGGTACAAAAAAGTATGTTTTTAATTAGTTACTAACTTAAAATAATGCCTTTTAAAAGTGAGGATCTCGTTCTACTTTAGTTCCAAGACTCAAGTCCGTAACTGAAAGATTAAAGGAGCAATTGAAAATGTGTGTATAGCAGCATTGACATTAAAAAAGAAAGTTTTAGACTTGATGTTGAACTCCGTTGCAGTTAATCTCATAGTGCCTGATGGTGTATTGGAAGGATCAAAATATGCTCTCAAAAGTTGATTTTGGACTTAAAGAGCAAGAATGTTTTGGGAAAATTCAATAAATAGGACTAAAAGATACCCCATTTATTTAACTAGGATCTTCATTGTATTTTTCTTCTTCAGAAAATAGGATTTATTTACTCCTAAAAGATTTACTCCCAAAAGAAAAATATTAACCACTTTTATTTCGTTTTACAAGTATATGGCATCCTAATTTCTACACAAGACATTGCTACTCCTATTTGTGCATATGACCAAGTTTTACGGGTTTTTGCAGTCATTTCTTTGTATTTTCTTTTCATTTGCCACTCTAAGTCTATAAGACAGGCCAATAGAATCACTACTTTGAAGTCGTGTAAAATGGATTTTGAGATTTTGTTAATGCTTTAACTCTATACCAATGTATAAAATGACATTTTTAAGTTATACCCCGTAGTAGTTACAAGCTTTAATAGGTTTAAATATATTGATGCCACTTTTGCAACCGAAGTTGTTGATAAAAACTAACCAATATTATTGTGAGTTACTTGAGTTAATATTCAACGCGATTCATCTTAACTTTTTCACAAAGCAAAGCCATTTTGTACCGATCAATGTGTATCTGCGTACCTTCATTCAAACACCCATGGGGGTCTTAAAATCTCTACAGTGTTTAGTGCTCTCTAATGTCTAAGTAAGAATTACAAAGGGTGATAAGTCTTTTTATTTGGCTTGATAGTTTAAGACCATACTTTGTCTGGAGGACTTCGCAGGAAAGAGAGACTGGGATGGGAAAAGGAGAAGTGGGATGTGTTTGGTTGAGGGAAGTGGGGAAAAGGAAGAAGCTATGAACTCCTCCAAACTCTTCATCTCTCTCTCCCAATTTGGGGGGATTGATTCTTTTTTCTTGATTTGTTTGACCGTGATCAATCAAATTTCTTTTACATTTATTGTCATAGATATAAGTTACTACAAGTACATTTTTTACTTCAACAAAAATGACATCAGATATGATATTTTCAACATAATTTCTTAGTCATTATGTAATTCTAAAGAGGGGCACTGAAAATGGGAGAGGTGAGGGGGTGAAATGGAAGGAGTTAAAAACTGCTGTGTTTGGTTCAATGGACAAGTGAGGAAGAATTAATATTTTAGAAAAACATCTAATTAAACTTTAAAGAACTTTACCCGTTTTCCTCCTTTCTCCTCTATCCATTTTCTGTCCCTTTCATCCCCTCTTTTGAACCAAACAAGGGACAAAAATTGAAATTTCATGAGTGGTCCATATTTTTTTTTGTCTCTGGAACCAATTTTACTGAATATAGGTGTAAGTAATACAATGCTTGAAATTTCAATTGTCCTGGTATGCCATCTGTATAGTTTGAGCTTTAAGTCAGTTTATTCACCGCAATTACTATTTTCTATGTAATATACATATATGTGTGTGTGTGTGCGCACACACACATATAATGAGAGCTGAATATCAATCAAGCTTGTGTTAATATGCTGAATTTTCTTTTTCGTCGACAGGACTTGGCAGTTAGGTAGATTATGCAATCAGGGTTTAATGCTTGTCAAAGCTTCTTGTCGCGGTGAACCATGAATGAATTTTGCATTACTTCCATAGCATATTTGAATTTGAGTACGCGATGAAATAGTTGGAAAATTCTTTCCAAGAGCTGACTAGAGAGAGTAAGTTTCTTTTTTTGGGTGATATTTTGTGTTAACCAGTTGAGTTTTTCATTAGAGGTTCCATTTTTGTCTTTAAGAGTGAGTGTGGTCTAAATCAGATTGGCGGCATATAGTCAGAAATGTATCTTTGCATCTCCGGTGAGGCGGGTTGATACAACACATAAGAACCAATAGACTAGATTTTTCTCAAGTTTTAATTTTTTAGTATGTGCTTTTTAATTGTCTTTTCACTGTAATGACTGCAAAAGTTGCAGATGTCTCCTAAATGTTCTGATTTATTATGTCCTAAAGTTTAGGCTTTTATTTGAATGTATGGGAGGTTGTTGATCTGGTACCCATATAGGGCCCCCCTCCCCATGAATAAGTACTCTTCATTTTCTGAAGAACCTTTTACCTTGTTTTAGGTGGTTAATGAATACCCATATGTTTATGGCATATTGTTTCCCGAGGAATTTTGAGATGAGTATATTCTTCTTGTGTAATGTCTTTTATCAATATAATCAGTTATTGTCATTTTCATTTCATTATGAATAGGGCAGACTCGGGTTAGTTGGGGTTGCGGCTAAAGGTAATGGGGAATTGGAACCATGGGTATTGGGTAAACTGGTTCTAGTTCTAGGTTGGTTAGAATTTTTTAGGCCCATTAAAAAAGGAAGTGGTCGGTTCTGCTTCAATTGTGGAGGAATAGGAACCGGTTTAGTTTGGTTCTTGGAGCCGAAAAATGTGCCACCCGTCCGATTCTTTACCTGTCCATTTTTTTATCCATGATGAATCTGAAATCAGGCTGACCCATTGCTTTGACATATTGAATGAGCATATAGTCCATGTGGAAAGATCATACTCAAAAGAAAGGCTATGGTAATTACTATTAGGAGTGGACATATTGGTTTGGTTTAATTGAATCATATCAAACCGAATCAAAATCGGACCATATGCAATTTGATTTGAGTTTTGTACTATATCTTCCAAATCGTATTAAAATGAACCAAAGTTGACAAAAAATCGAACAAAATCGAACTGAACTAAAGAAATTCAATAAAATCTCTATATATTATTAAAAAATAACAAATATAAAACGAAAAATGGTCCACCTCTAATTGCTACTATCCTGTTATTCCCTCAGTAACACTAGAGAGTAGAGAGGTTCGGCGCATAGGATAAGAAAGTAAAAATGCGTGATTGAAATATGTGCATATGAGTGATAGATACTAGCGAATTTGGATCCTCTCCAGTGACTGGAGAGTTCCATTATGAGAGATATAGAGAAAATTAGAGTTCTATTTTGTTCACCCCCTTCATGGAGGTAGGGGTGGACTGAATCGGGCCAGTTCGGGCCTCGGGCCTGGGCCCGGCCGGGCCTCGGTTCAGAATATTGAGGCCCGAGCCCGAACCGGGGGTGGCCGGTTCCGGGCCAGACCGGGCCGGTTCCGGGCCGGGCCACCCGCCCTATTTTTTTTTTTTGGCTTCTTTATTTAATCCCCTACCCCTCTTTCTCAACCCCAAACCATTCCAAACTACCTCAAATGGACCAAAATACCTAATCTAACCCAAAACATAAAAAATTTTCAAAAAAAAATAAAAAAAAATTATTTTCGGCCCGGACTGGGCCCGAACCGGCCGGGCCGGTTCACCATATGGAAGGCCCGGGCCTGGAACCTGGAACCACCGGGCCGGTTCGACCCGAACCGCCGGTGGACCGGGCCACCGGGCCGGGCCGGTTGCTACAGTGGCCGGGCCGGGCCGGTTCCGGGTCGGGCCGCCCGGCCCGAGTCCAGGCCTACATGGAGGGTGAACATCACCCTCTCCTTCCAACACATGACACTTGGCAAGACTTTTAAATTTTGCAAGTGTAATGCCAAGTGTCATGTGTTGGAGGGAGAGAGTGATATTCACTCTCCATGAAGGGAGTGAACAAAATAGAACTCAGAAAATTAAGGGTGAGATAGGTTGGTGAGTAGGATAGAGAAAAAGGTAGAGATAGATAGGAAGTAAAAAGGAAATGGAGAGGAAATGGAGAGAAAGAAATGGAGAGGAGTTGAACCAAAATACTAACACACACTAATTAGTTACGTAGTACTTTCAAAGAAAAATGGCAAATTTTTTAAGACCAAAGGAAAATCAGCAAAAATAGAATTCATCGACAAGAATGTGGTTTAAATTATTATTACCAACACCCATCATTTTTGTTCGAAAAAATTCTCACATGTCCCGTGCTTTTTCGTATCTATAAGGATGTTTTTACTTGGACTGTAATTTGCCCCAGACCAGACCAGTTCAGACCAGACCAGACCAGACCAGACTTGGATAGTTATAAAAATAAAAAGAAACCAGACCTTACCAGACCAGACCAGACCAGACTTGGATAGTTATAAAAATACAAAGAAACCAGACCTTACCAGACCAGACCAGACCAGACTAGACCAGCAAATTACAGTCCAAGTAAAAACATCCTAAGTCCCTCGGGTCTTGTTAACATCATTATTATAACAATAGTAAGAAGTTCTGAAGATGACCGTCTAATCAATTTGGAGGCCCTGGTTCCAAATGATGAATTCAGACTCCTAAAATAAGAAGAAATACAAAATTTAAAAATGAGATACAAATAAGCTAGATAGTGCAATGAAATATAGGTTTATGATGATTAAAGTACATAAATTAGACAATCTAAAGTTTCATACCTTTTGAAATCTTGAATAATACACAACATCTAGAAAAATCAACTTATAACTAATATTACATAGTACGTACTACTTCCGTCCCATTCCAAGGTTCCCGTCCACTATTCACACGGTCAACTTAAATCATTATTAATCTTTTGCTTTATATATATTAAATTTTTATCAAATTTACATAATACTACCTCCATTCTTAAATAATTGAAACATGTGAAAATTTATACTATTCATATGTTCTACTTTGACTACATTTTATTTATTGATGTATTGATATATTTTTTTGAAAAATATATTATTTAATTTGTCTCATTGTAAATTTTCAAAAACTGAATTTTTTAAATTTTTTACTAATAGAGAATTATACTATCGTATATATTAATGGTCAAAGTTGTGTCTCGGCAAGTGAGAAATGTTGACTGTTGCACTTATTTAAGAACGGATGAAGTATTTTTTTTATCAGGCTTTGTAGCGGTTTTAATGTAGTTTCTGGATATGTAAATTTTATTTACTAAAAATAATCAGAGTGTGAACAGAGATTAAGTTGTTTTATCATCAGTCAAGCTTCGTAAACCGTAACGAGAACCTCTCTATGGGACGAAGGGAGTACTAAATTGGAGGCCTTCTACGAGACTGGGCCCCGATGCCAAACACTTATTGCACCTCCTAAAAGACGACCATGGTTCTGAACTAAGCTAGAGCAATCTTAAGGCCATTATGATTGGGGGATTTCGGAGGAGGGTGAAGGCGAAAATTGATTTTTTATTGGCCCTTTGCATTAACTTCGAGAACATGGTTTAATGCACCAAACCTCCTTCGTGATATGGAAATCCGGCGCATTAGCCCCATGTGATTTAAAAAATGCACCAAACCCTCTTGTGTTTTAATTAATTATGCGCAAAATCCTTTCTATGAACAAATTCAATTGTCAAATAAAATAAAAATGATTAACATTTATGTATGATTTAGAGATTTTGACATATTTACTTGCAAATTCATTAGAATGTTAGAAAAAATGATTTCCAAATCGTTAAATTTATTCATAAAAGGGGCTTTGTGCATGATTAATTAAAACACAAGGGGGTTTGATACATTTTTCAAATCACAGTGGACTAATGCGCTGGATTTCTATATCACGAGGGGGTTTGGTGCATTAAACCCTCAAGAAGAAGAACAAGAACTTAACGTTGTTTGTGTTTTGGTTTTATTATTGTTTGTATTGTTTGGTTGGTTAATTAATGAAATGAACACAAACTTATTTTAGAGCTAAACAAATAACAAGAAGCTTGTTTGATAAAAGTGGAAAAGTGTGATAACTTGGTCCATTTTAAACGTACTTGATTGAAATTCACGTAAAGTGTACGTGCAGCTAAATGCTAGATAAAAAGGGTAAAGTGAAAATGCTGGATGAGTAATCATGTACGTTAAATAATTTCTACACTTTGTTGGGATTTTAATTTGTGACATGAAATTTTGTTTATAAAGTTTGCTAACAAGTTTGGTAAAATGAATGAGCACATTCTTTTATTGTAATTATCATGGGCTGGAACCACATCGGTTATTTGACCGATGTGAAAAGCCTTTTTTGACCGATGTGAAAAGCCTTTTTTGTACTAGTGTCAATATAAATTGCTCTAATTACATACTGCGTTTTTATTTAATTAGAAATATTTGCTTTCATGTTAGGAAAGTATGGTTGATTATGATATATTAATGTTGCAACATTAATGCATGGTAACGTCAAATAATGTCAATATTATTTCCGGATGATGGTGATTTACTTTTGTTTAGGGAAAACATATGGCTCTGTTTGGATACTGGCGGTTAAGGCCAAATTAAACCGCCGTTTTTTAACAAAAGGAAACACTAGAATTTCTAGCGGGTTGGCTTCAAAACGCCAAAAAACAAACAGGGGCACATAGTCTTCATATCTAGGAAAATCCAACTATTTTTATTCATATTTTAAGAAATTTCTCATTTTTCAAAATGAGCATTTGTTTGGTCTTGAACAAACACAAGCATATAGTTCAATTCGAGGCTATTAGTATTCATTTTCGTAGTAAACAAATGATCTCAAATAGTTGTAATTGTTAAAATTTAGAATGTTTTCACCAGGATTAAAATCTTCTAGTCTTTTTTTAATTTGGAAGGCAAATCTGGGGTAAATACCGGGAAATATTTACCATATTTTATTAATAAAAACAAAAATGCTAGTCAAATTTTCTAGTCTAATTTGATAAATGTTTGGTTTATATCTATTTCAATATTACATGTCTATATTTGATTCCATCTGGTCTAATCTGATCGATTTAGGTCAAGTTCGAGACCAAAGAAATCCAAATTAAAATATTTTTTATTCAGAGGGTGGATATCATACATTCATTGGTGTTCTTGATGGATCACAAACTATACATTGCTAGGTATGAATAGAAAGTGGCTTGGTGAGTGTTAGAATATTTGTCTCACACCGAAAAGGTTGGGCTTAAAACAATATATAAGAATTTGGACTTCTCCTCCTATCAGGTTGACCTTTTAGGATGAAATCTCGAGCCTTAACGTGGTATCAGAGCAAAGTCCAATTGTGATTTGACTGTTTGTTTAGCACTCATGATTAAAAGTAGTTTGTTAATTGTTTGTTTGGCCCATTTATACACCCCATATTGTCCAGCCCAGTTCGGTCTGAGGTGACATGTTAGTGTATTTGTCCCACACCGAAAATCTATAACACAATAAAACACTATATAAGATTTTGGGCTAAACACTTACTATTAGTTAAACGATCATATTAATTTGCTAGGTATGAATACATGGTCAAACGCACATCTAGACTAGACGTCTAGACTATTG